TTTATTGATCATGTGTCCTAAAACTTCACTTATTAGTTTTAGTAACTTTTTATTTTTTAAGATTCCTTTGGACTTTTTAACAATATTATCTATGAATACAGACAATTTTAGTATTGGCTTTCCAATCTATATGGTTTTTTTTTTCCTTCTTGTCTTAATGAATCTGCTATATCCTTGTCTGTTACCCAATCTTAGGGAAAACATATGTTCAGCCTTAAAATGCAGATGATGTTAGTTGTAGTTTGCCATAACTTCCTTTAGCAGACTGAGGAAGTTCCCCTTCAATTCCTAATTTGCTGAGAACTTATATTATGTTCAAATTTTGTCAAATGCCCTGTCTATATCTACTGAGATAATCATACAGGTTTTCTTGGTAGTATGTAAATATGATGAATTTTACTAATTTGTTTTCTAGTGCTTAACCTATTTTATGTACCTGTAACAAAGTCTAACTGTGTTTTATATTTTTGATCTTTATATACTTGATTTTTTAGTATTTTATTAAGGATTTTTCAATCCTTGATCATAGGGAGTACTGATCTAGTTTTCTGTTTCTAACACTGATTTGGGTACTGGCAATTCTGGTTTCAAAAAATTCCATCCTCATCTATTTCATATAAGAGTTTGAACAAGTATTATTTCTTTGAATAATATTTCTCCCTTGAAGTACAATAAAATTCACCAGTGAAGTCAACTGATCCTGGCGCTTTCTTCCTAGGAAGTTTTAAAATTATAAATGCATTTATATATTAAACCTTCCCTGGACAAGACAATCACTATGTCCCCAAATGCTACACAAGGGCCCGGTGTATGCCCACTGCTTAATTTTCAAATTCAAAAATTTTAAAAAGCCAAGAAGGTTTAAAATGTTCACTACCCATAATTATGAAAAGTACCACTGCCTGTTCATCTGTGTCCTAAATGTAATATTTGGAGAGTTAGTCAGCTAGATAATATGTCCATATGCTGGAAAGGTTTTTTCCCTTATGTGTCTGGTGCCTATAAAACTGGTCTCAAACATCTGGAAAGATTGGGTTTACAAAATAAAGATGGAATAAAAGTGAGTTCACAATTAAATAACATGTTCAGCCATTGGGTAATCAGTTCACAAACTTGAATTTCCCTGATGTATTGTTGAACAAACTGCCTAGAGCACATTTTCACTTCTACTTTCTCAATGTTTTCCATAACCGAGAAACTCATATGGTCTCTTTTTTTCCCCCTGCCTCCTGGGGACAGAAACTTGGCAAGTGTACTTGGGATATTTTAATCAGGTAAGTTTTCCTGGTTCTTCCTGTTAATCACATCAGACAGCCCAGCGCAGCTTTGGCTTGCAATATGAAACAGAGTGTTACATTCAAGATGGAGTTCAGGACCCTTTATTAGTCCCTTCCCGTGTCATCTCTCCACTGAACGTGAGCTTCTTTGGCAAGACACAAGCTCTGGGCCCCAGAGCTAGCAAACAGAGACACATCATTTCCATCACTAATAAAGCAGGCAGGGCTAAGGTCACAGCCATCATCATTCCGGGTACAAATAACTGTGGCTGGGTCTACTCATCAGGGAGAAGGCAAGAGGAGAAAGCTCCCACAAACGTAGAAGACTTAAGCAGATCTTTAATGCCACAAACACTTGGGACGGCAGGCAAGTTTTAACGTCAAACTAGCTGTCTGGGGCCTTTGAGTGTTTCAGGCCTTGTTCTTTCTGCACAAGTGTGTGTGTGGAGAGGGTGGAAGTCACAGAAAATCGCTGTCTTCTTCACCTTTGCTCCCTGTCATAGAAACTACCTGACCAAGCATCAGTGGTCTTCGCTCTCTCTTTTGTAAAGAAATCTAGAAGCAGGGGTAGGTGTCTGGCACAGTGGTTCAGACGCCACTCAGGATGCTTGTACCTTACACTGGAGTGCTTGGGTTTGAATCCTGGCTCCACTCCCGATTCCAGCTTCCTGCTAATGTGTACCCTAGGAGGCAGCAGGTCATGGCTCAAGTGCCTGAGTCTTTGCCACCCACATGAAGAGGCCCAGATGGAGTTCTGGGGTCCAGGCTTCAGCCTGTTCCGGCCCCAGCTGTTGTGGGCATTTAGGGAGTGACTGAGGGGATGAGAGCTCTCTCTCCTTGTGTCTCTGTCTTTCCTTCTCTCTTTCAAACAAATAAATATATAATCCTTGAAAAATCCGTAGGTCAATTATAGAGGATGACCCCAAATACTAATTTAGAAATGGACAGTAATCCAAATTCCAATCCAGCAGCCTACATCCTCACGACTGGTCACATGGGGGACGGGTGCTGAAAATGCCAGGAGGTTGGGCACAGCGATGAACACTGCCTGTCCTCTCAGCTATCTCTCTACCATCTTCTGTCTCCTTGTTTTTCACCAGAGAAAAGGAAACTAGAGGGGATAGATATGATTCACAGAAAGGTAGGTTTCTATTTTGACCTGAACCATCCCCTTAAAAACTCTAACAGAGTATCTTATTGGTATCCCACCGGCATGGGAACTCTACCACTTCAAGTTCTGTAATGTAGGTCAAGTGACTCAAACTCTCTCAGCTTTGGATTCCTCGCATGTACAAGATGCACGTCCTAAGAATAACAACCAAAGGACATCACTGCAAGGATTAAACAGTGGACGTCCAGTCTTGCTGTGCTAGGGTGCATGTCTTCCACATATCCACTCTGACAGGCTCTAACAGCCAGCTGCAAACTTCAGAATGCTGAGCATCGCCCTGCGGATCTCCAGGGAGGAAGCCGCCAATCTCAGTACACTGACTGTGCACACACACCTTACATAAAGAAAAGCACTTCCCACAATTCTGTGTTGGGTTAAAAAAAAAAAAAAGCACAGCAAGTGACTGGAATGACTCATGTGAATTTCGACAAACAGGCCTTTTTAAGGATGAGGCATAAATAATCTTTTTACTCCATTTATTCCCCTCTTGAAAATTTTCTGGTTTCGTTTTTAAACCTTCCCTTATTTCAAGATTTATCGGCTGCAGTTGGTTAAGGGAAGAATTTCATGACAAAGCTGCCCAATGTTTTACTGTACGGAATTTAATCTGAAATACTTTGTTTGGCCTTACTATCATGTAAAACAAAAAAAGATGAAAAATTTGTGGCCCAGGATTTTAGATCCTGGTATTTCAATGTTGATAATGTAATTTGAAAACAGAAGTGCAGATCTTCCAACAGTCAGCCAATGTTGAGGACGGAAAGAGATGAGGACACAAGTTCATGTAATTATACAGTAAGTGGTCAGGGGCTCGGCGCATACTGGGAAGGAGAAGAGATTCTGCCCAGAGACACGGACAGTGAACAGACATACAGCCATTCGCACAGCGTCAGAATCTGGGTGTCTGAGTTCTGCTCTAAGCTGAATGATCATACACAGTTAATGGCAGAGTTCTGGACAATAAATTAATTGCATTTTCAACTTGTGTTAAATTGACAAAAAACTGACATGCCTTGTAATGATGCTTTATCACTTCACTTTCCCACTTTCACAGGCTACTCCGTTTGTCACCCACAAGATCGCTGTTTCCTGTCACATCCAGATCAGGAATGTCTTCAATGGGGCTGCTTTGATAAAACCTTGGCAGCACACACCCCTGAGATCCAAATTGCAACTCCCAGGGGGCTCTGTGAGAATCAGGGGAGCCCTCCACAGGAAACGAAGCCAGCGAGTCAGTGAGAGGCTCCCCTTGCCACCAGGGGCCTGCACTTCTTGGAATCACCACTCTCCTGGGTCCCAGGACTGTCATACTTGGCCGCACCATCTTTGACCCATGTTATGTTGGGTATTAGCCCTGAAACTACTCCAACGAGGTTTTTAGACACTGATGCTCAGTTTGTATAGTGTTCCCAGCCTGCCGAGACACAATCCTACACACTGTCTCACTGCCTTTCCTCGAGATTCAAGTGAGTACACCCAACACTCACCTATTCACTCCCCAAGCTGCTCCTCGGGCCCATGTTTCCTGACTCCAGGAAGCCACCACTGCACTTTCTGTGCACCAAGGCATAAGCCTGGAAGTCGTTCTTGCTGCCTGCTTCTCCCTGATGCCACCGATCCACCTGCTGTGGTTGAAACCCCCTTTAAGTTTTGTCTTCCTTCTGTTTCTACCATCTAAGATCAAGGTCTTGTGCTCTCCAGTCTAGATCATTGCAACAGCCCTTTTTGGACCTGGCCTTGGCCTCCTCATGCTACAGCACTGTCCTACACAAAGCTTCCTAGGCATACTACATTCTTTAGGTCAGATCCAAATGCATAGAAAACCCTTTCCCATCTAGACCCTCACCCTGTAGTCTTACCTCATTCCTTGCCAGTATCCTACACTCTGGCTACACCGAACTCCTTGGAATTTTCTAAACATGACAAACCTCTCCATAACTCCACGTCCCCTCGGGACTCCACTTAGGGGTCATTTCCCCCAGGAAAGCTACGCAATGCTCCCCACCCACATCTTCCACCTAACCCAGGCCTGTCCTGTAGAGCCCCAGAAAATCCAGGGTTCACCTCCATTACACTGCCCTGCTTGTCCTGAGCCCCGTGATTCTTGAAACAAAGTGCGGGAAAGGGCAGCATCTACTGTAAGTGTCCCCACAGCCCAGTGCTGGTGTTCAACATTGGCGTCTTACGTCAGCCGGCCCTCCATTCATACTCAAGTATACGCCTCACGTCAGCACACAAATGTGAAATCTGCGACAGAAGGCAGCTAAGTGACTTGCTCCAAGTCACAGAACTAGTCCCGAGGAGAGGAACCGAGACTAAAGCCACACCTGGGACTCCTACCCCTAGGGACAGAGGCCACCAGACGGCACCAGTTGCAGGTCTAGACACTGAACAACCCAATGCGATGGAGGAACAGTGCTGGCAAGCGAAAGCCAGTCTGGATGACACCGAATAAGCATCATGGTCGGGCAGCCTAACCCAGCCACATCCTCAGAGCACCGCGCAGCCCTCCTCCCAGCCGTGGCCTGAATCCAATGGCCTGCTGACCGTACCTTTTTCCTCTGTCACGTGGCGAAGTTGCTTCTCAAGTGCAGGAAGCTTCAGCAACAAGACACAATCTGGATACATGTCATCTACCACAACTTGATCTAGGGGCTGAAACTTCCCCTGGGAAAAAAAAACACTTTGGTCAGTCAGAACATAGGCATTCCATCAACAAACTCAGACGTGCAAAGGAGGGAAACAGGCACGTTCCCCATGGCTGGCCCTTCCCACTTAGCCTGGAGCTGCTTCCCATCTAAGGGATCCCTGAACTGGGGCAGGCGCTAGAACTGACCTCCCTGCACCCCAGGAAGCGTGGGTGAGCACAAGGGTTGCAAGCAGTGCGTCTACTCAGGGATACCATTCCAGAAAAGCTCTAGAAACCACAGACCCTGCCTGGGGCTGGTCTGGCCGCTCCATTTGAAGAACTGCCGTGGTCACACTGCAAGAGTGCCACCCAGCCCACAAGCCTGGAACAAGGCCAGACTGGGTGAGAATGTTCTTTCCCCCCGCTGTCCTCACTCCAAGGCTGCAGAGAGAAACGCCCACCAGAGAACGAGAAATGTAACACACGAATCTACTCCTGCCAGAGCTGACTGACAACGTGCCCAACTCGAGAGCAGACTAAAAGACAAGACAGCTGGAAGGCCAGCGAAGCTGCAGCCAGGCTAAAGCAGGCTGCCAGGGAAGCTTACGAGGCCTGGCTGTCGCTGGGTGAGGCCAGCTAAGATTCCAGATCCTCACTCTTCGCACACAGGTTTAGCCATTCTTAACCTTAGCCATAGTAGGGAGAAGCAGAGCTGCCTTGGGGACACCGGACTCTGTGACAGATGTAGGGTTCTGACCACGGCCCACTTTAGCTCACCCTCCTTTTCTGTCTCAGTGACAGCTCCTTTTTAAGACAGAAAAACTGCAGCTGGTCAGCTCTCTTTGTGAAAAATGCAGCATTCTTTGGTTTGAGGGGTGCTATCTTATTCATGGGGCAGTGCGTGTGACAGCTCATCAGACTTTCTGTTACAGCAACAAGCGGAAAGGAATGTCTCCGTTTCATGTCTATTTGTTCCTTCAAATCACACATTTCCCAAGCCTTACTGTCTTCAGATTCCAACCTTAAATCTATTTTCTTCCATGATCTACCAATATTTAAAACATTTTGTGTTTTTTTTTTTTTTTTTTTAGTTTTTTTATTCACTTATTTTGTTTATTTGAAAGGCAGAGAGACAAAGTGGGAAAGAGACAGAGGCAGACAGACATCTCCCACCCACTGATTCATGTGTCAAATGCCTGCAACAGCTGAGGCTGGGCCAGGCTGAAGCCCAGAGCTGGAAACCCCAATCTGGGTCTCCCGGGGTGCGAGGGGCCCAGGTACTTGAACATCACTGCTGCTCCCCGGAGTGTGGCCTGGCAGATGCTGGAATCAGCGGCAGAGCTATGGCTTAACCCCAGGTGCTGTGACACAGAACGTGCGTGCACCAAGTGGCATCTTAACAGCTGCATCAATGCCCAACCCTGTTTCACTATTTTAAAACAACATTCCACTTATATGTAGATCATATGAGTCATGGGATAAAATACTTGCATAAATAACTAGTGTTTCATTCTTGTTTTCTTTGCCATATACATCTGTATGGCAAAGAAAAAACTTCCTTGTGGAAGTGCAATAAACAGCTTGCTTTAAAGATAAAATTAATAATAGTTGGGATAGCTGGAAAGAAGAGTTATTTTTACAGATGTTAAAATACATCTTGTGATTCAAAAAGAGCAGTTCAAATTTCGAAAGTGTATGCCAATATTTTTACCAAATAGGAAACGATTGTGTCTGAAGCGTAGGGAAGGAAACAGATAAACACCTCATGTGTCACTCTAAAGGCCGTTTCTAGCGTTGGAGAAGGCAGATTACCATGGTTTCATATGGATACCAGCCACCTCCCTGAGTGGTATTTCTGCTCCATTCTGCGGCTGTCAACTTGACCTTGCCGGAGCACCCCAGAGGTTCCCGGAGGGCCTCAGTGAGGTCAGTCCCCAAGACTCAATGGTCCCAATGGGCGATGGGGAAACATCACCAAAGAGTGGAAGGAGGGTTAATGTCCATCCATCTGTGCAGCGAGGCTGGCTGACGGCTTCCTCTGATAATTTGTCCTAGAAAATGCCACATATGAGAGCCAACTGACGTTCTCAGCTTCCTCCCCGCAAGCTGCCAAGGCTTCCTGCGGGTGACGATGCCCATTTTGGTTTCCTATAGATGCATCGGGTACCAGTCTGTCTGCAGCTTCCAGGCAATGGGAACCATGATTAAACTCAGGAATAAAACACCCCTGACTCTCAGGAAAGGACAGAGGGTAGAAAAGGAGGAGAGATAAAGCAGCTAAGCAGCACCAACTGAGAACACGACCTGGAGTTTTAAGTCAGTTTTGTTACCATCAATATTTACTGCAACTTTAATTGACTTAAAGGCAGACTCTTCTAAAGAGTTTAACACCTATTTCTTAACAATTCAAAGGTTTTCAAATTGTGGTTGATGGGATCTTCAGGGTCCTCCTTACCCTTTCAGGGGTTCCCCAAGCTCAGAATTATTTTCCTAACCATGCCAAGAAGCTATTTGTCTTTCCATGGTGTTGGCATTTGCACAGATGACTCAAACGCACCAGTGCACAACTGGTATCAGGCCGTCTGTCACAGCATTCTTCAACACCATGTACATGCAGCTAAAAAAAATGCCTGTTTCACTTAAGAATATCCTAAGCAAATCCTAGAAGGAAGAATAAGCCTGTGTGGTGAGTGTGTGGCTAAAGCACTTTTGCCCCATGCCAAGGCACACGGCTCACTTTAAGGGGAAGCACGTGGGTGACTAGGTGACTGGGTGACTGGGTGGCAAGCCGACCTGGGTGCTTTCTCCCGGCTATAAATTTCACTTGAAAAATCCTCTACGAATGATAGGCATTCAGCCTTGGGTACTGGGCAGATGTGAATGAGGGGAGGAACTATGGACAGTACTTATAGCCAATGGTAATATTTGAGCTTCCAAGCAAAAATCAGAAGTGTAGAAAATGTATATTTGCCTCTATAATAGCTTCCCAACGTACAGAACTTTCTGACAAAATCAAAGGTGATATTAACAGAGGGTTTATATGTGTGTGCAGGGTGAGTTGCATTAACATCTGGAAGAGTAAACCAGTATTTTCCAAATGATCAATATGTGATGCTACAAAACCATAAGTGGATAATAAGAAATGCTTATTTTTTTAGGTTTATTTTATTTATTTGAAAGGAAAAGTGATAGAGGGAGAGACAGAGAGATCTTCTCTCTGCTAGTTCACTTCTTAAATGACTACAACGGCCGAGGTTGGGCAGGCTGAAACCAGGAGCCTGAAACTCCACCAAGGTCTCTCTCATGGATGCAGGGGCCCAGGGAGTTGGGCCATTCTTGGAATGCATTCCCAGGTCCATTGGCAGGGAGCTGGCTTGGAAGCAGAGGGATGCCAGCTTCTGCAGGCAGCAGCTCAACCCACAGAGCCACAACACTGGCCCCCAAGATCTATCCTTAGGACAAGTAAGACCAATGGACTTCAATGTAACAGAGCATGCAAAGTGCATTGACCAGGTTGCCAATTCCACCTTGCAAGTAACCTATTAAAAAAACCACCCCTTGCTGAGTTTTGAAGAAGAACTCCACAATTACCTGAAAAAGCTGTTGTACTATTCCCCCCTTTTGTAACTACATATCTGTATGAGGCCACACATTCTTCACATACTTCTACCAAAACAATATAGAGAAACAGAGTACAGAACCAGGTTGAAGCAACAAGCTGTCTTCTATTAAGCCAGACTGTAAAGGGATGTTCACAAATGTAAAACAAGGCCACATGCCTCATTAAATGTTGTCATTGCATTAAAAATGTGCTATTTATATTAACATGCAACAGGGTTATGATTTGCACTTTAAAAAAGAGTATTTTTAAATGTCTGGGTATTGTTTTTTGAAATTGTGAGACAGAGAGAGGGAGGGAGATCCCCAGATGTCCACAACAGTGGGAGCTGGGCTAGGGCTGGAAGCAAGAACCAGGAAATCCAGATCTCCTATGTGGGTGGCAGGGACACAACTACTTCAGCCATCACCACTGCCTCCGAGGGTCTGCATTAGCAGGAAGCTGGAGCCAAAAGCAGGGGCCAGGAATCAGAACCAAGGATTCTTACACGAGATGCAGGCATCTTAACCACTAGGCTGAATGCCTGTTCCCTCTCAGTTAAAATAGAGTCCATATTGACAGAACACACAGGAACACAGCTCTGGGAAACCTTCAATAATTTTAAGTGACAAAGTATCTTGAAGCCCAAATTGTCCTAGCACCTCTAGCTGGGCCGATTACTATTACGACTACTAGTCATAAACTCTTCATGTCACAAAGGTAAATTGCATTCATCTGGAATTTCTTAACTCGCAACTAGAGGCTGCACCTTAAGCAGCTTTTAGCAGACACGCCCCAGTTTACTTCTTTCATAGTCTTTCTCACCCGGAGATAAATCTTTCTTCTCCTAAGTCCTGGGGTCATTCTTGTCTTTTTTAGGGGGGTGGCGGGAGGGTTGGTCAGTTTCTCAGCATTTGTTTGGTATTCCAATCCAAGGAGGGCTGGAAAGCAAACGTTGTCATGGTGAGGCCTTGTCAATCAGTGAGGAACACAGAACGGGAGTCCACTCAGGGCAGCTGGGCAGCTCAGGGGCCTGCCGGTGCCAACCGAGGTCAAGACTGAAGCGAGGTTCCTCAGGCTCTGACCCAAAAGCACCCGGGGTGCCGGGTCTGCAATCACCCAGTTAAATCTGCAGTGCAGAGTGTACATTTGGATGATTCAAAGGAGAGAAGAGAGGGTCAAGCAAACAAGAGTCCATTCAGGCTGCTCACTGTAAATCCCCAACTGGGAAACTCACCTCTTTATCAGTTTTCATGAGGTAGTGGAGCAGCAGAAACAGGGGGTCCACAGGTGTGGCAAAGTGGAGAAGACCTCCTGCGTGTTAAAAGAGGACACAGGAATTAAATGCTTTGGCAAGACAACTTGGTTATTTCATTTAAATCTCAATGTGAAAACCACGTGGTGACAAACATGAGTATATGTGGAATCCAAAATTCAGAACGTCTTCAGGTATAGGCCTCTGCTTCTACATGACTCAAAAGACAGAACAGCTTGAGATTATGTTACCGGTTTGCTTATTAATAATTTGAAATATTAATAAGCCGTGTGGGCTCTTGCCTCATATTCAGAAAAGAATTCTGAATACTGGTACAAATAAACCAGGCAGTGTGGTAAGTCTTTTTTTTTTTTTTTTTAGGCAGAGTTAGACAGTGAGAGAGAAACAGAGAGAAAGGTCTCATTGGCTCACCCCCCAAATGGCTGCTACGGCTGGCATGTTGTGCTGATCCGAAACCAGGAACCAGCCCCCCTCTGCTTTGGTCTCCCATGCGGGTGCAGGGCCCAAGCACTTGGGCCATCCTCCACTGCCCTCCCGGGCCACAGCAGAGAGCTGGACTGGAGGAGGAGCAACTGGGACTAGATCCCAGTGCCCCTTTGGGATGCTGGCACCGCAGGCAGAGGATTAACCAAGTGAGCCACGGCTCCGGCCCCAGTGTGGTAAGTTTTAAGCTTTTTATTTAGTGAGAGAAATGCATAGGAGAGTGAGGGTGTTAGTCTAATCTAAGGGAGATGGGAAAGTCTGGAAATTAAATTGGAATCCATACCAAGCAGAGAGCAGGCCAAAAGCCACGTGCAGCAAGCGTTTTGAGCAGCTGTTAACAGCTTATCCCAGGTAGCAGAGCACAGGCAGAGAGCGTGGGTGCCCTGAAGGCGTGGGGCAGCAAAGGGCTATAATGGCAAAAGAGGGCAAAAGGGGCTGGGCCCACCATGTCTCAGGCCTTTAATTCACTTCCAAAGGGGAGTGGTTAATTAGTCTGATTGGCAGATGGGCACACAGGTGTGGTCTGGTAGGGGCATGAGGTCACACAGGGGCGTGGTGAAGGTGTGGTCTTCCAGCTCACAAACCTGATCAATTTTACCCAGTACGCCCACCTACAACAATATCAGGCCAAGCACATTAAATTCCTGGATGGGGAGAACAAGCCAAGATCTATAGAGAGCAGGCATTTGGTCTAGCAATTAACACTGGTTAATCTGCCTGTAATCCATACAGGGGTGACCAGTTTCAGTACAGCTCTGGCTTCCGACTTTAACTTGGAGCCAATGCAGATCCTGGGAGGCAGTGGTAATGGTTCAAGTAGTTGGGTCCCTGCCACCAACATGGGGCACCTGGATTGTGTTCCTGGCTCCTGGCTATGGCCCTGGCCCAGCCCCAGCCATTGCTGGTATCTGGGAAGTAAACCTGCAGATGAAAGCACTATCTCACTCTCTCTAATTAGTAAATAAAAATTTTCAAAAGGAAATTGATCTTTACCTTCCTCACTTCTTCCTTAAAAATCATTTTTACAAAGCCTCCTCCCACCTCTCAAAACAGCAGGGGTTGGAGGAAGCAGAGAAGGTGATCCAGGCCAACGATAGGAAGCCTGTACGGCGTGAATCTATCTACAAAATAACAACACAATGCAACGTCCCGTGCTTTTGAGGATGAAGATATGGAAAGCAGTACCATTCTCTCCGTATGGAGCTCCGACTTTGGTGTGTGGGCCCAGTGACTCAAAGCCCATGGGTTGGTAATCACCAGGGACCCCACCCCAAGCTCCACCCTGGAGGAATAAGGCAGGAGGCCAGCGTACGCCTGACATGACTAAGCAAACGCAAGCACAAAACTGCAGCACGACGCAGCCAGCTCTCCAGGCTGCCGGGGAAAAGGCAAATCAAAGCAGCCTGCCTGCTCCCCACTTCTCCTTCCTCTACGGATCTCCCCTCCAAGCACTGAGACTCTCTGCCCATGGAAGTGAACCACAAGGGAGATTCTCAAAAAAAGGAAAGACAAGCGATCCCTTCACTTCCTCCAAAGCCTATTATTTGGTTCCAGGAAACGCATGCACAGTTGGCCTTGCATATCCCAGGGATACTCATCCATGGGTTCAACCAACCACAGATTCAAAATATTAGGAAAAAACTTAGATCTCTACTGAATGTATAGACATTTTTTTTCTTGTTATTATTCCCTATATAATACACTACACAAGGGATCTTCAGAATGTTTACGGAAGGAGCTGGTGTTGTGGTCCTGTGGATTGAACCCCTGCCTGTGATGCCAGAATCCCATATGAGCACTGGTTTGGGTTCTAGGTGCTCCACTTCCGATCCGTCTCCCTGCTAATGCACCTGGAAGGCAGTAGAAGATGGTGCAAGTGCTTGGTCTCCTGCCACCCACGTGGGAGACCTGGATGGAGTTCTAGGCTGCTGACTTTCTTCTGGCCTGCCCCAGCAGTTGTGGCCACTTGAGGAGTGACCCAGCAGATAGAAGATTCTCTCTCTCTGTAATTCTGCCTTTCAAATAAATAAATAAAAATTGTTTATCAAAAATGTCTATTATGGGCCGGCGCTGCGGCTCAATAGGCTAATCCTCTGCCTGCAGCGCCGGAACACCGGGTTCTAGTCCCTGTCACTCCTCTTCCAGTCCAGCTATCTGCTGTGGCCCAGGAGGGCAGTGGAGGATGGCCCAAGTGCTTGGGCTCTGCATCCACATGGAGACCAGGAGAAGCACCTGGCTCCTGGCTTCAGATCAACGCAGTGCACCAGCTGCAGCAGCCATTGAAAGGTGATCCAATGGAAAAAGGAAGACCTTTCTCTTTGTCTCTCTCTCTCACTGTCCACTCTGCTTGTCAAAAAAAAAAAAAAAAAAAAAGCCTATTATGAAAAAATTACGCATGGGTTTTGACACCTTTTAAATTTTAAAAATTTTAAATTTTAAACACCTTTAATTTTTTTTTTTTAATTTATTTTCATTTTATTTGAAAGGCAGAGAGACAGAGACAGAGAGTTCTTCTACCTGCTGATTCACTCTCCAAATATTCACAACCTGGGACTGAGTCAGGCTAGGCCAGAGGACTGCCCTCAATCTGTATCTTCCAGGTGGTGACGGGGACCCAACCACTGGAGCCTTCACCTGCTACCTCCCAGGGTGCACACTAGCAGCGAGTTGGAATCAGAAGTGGACCCAAGACTTGAACCCGAGTGCTCTGAGATGGGGTGCAACATCCCCAGTGGTATCTTTAACTGCTCTGCCAAACACTCCCCCCAAACTTATCTTTTAACTTCTATTTCCCATTAACTTTGAAGTTCCTGAATAACTACCACTTATATAGAATTTACATTGGATTAGGCAATCGAGAGATGGAAAGTCTACGCAAGGATGCATACAGGCTATATGTGCATACTATGTTTTTGGTTTTTTTTTTTTGTTTTTTTTTTTGACAGGTAGAGTTATAGACAGTGAGAGAGAGAGACAGAGAGAAAGGTCTTCCTTCCATTGGTTCACTCCCCAAATGGCTGCTACGGCCGGCGCTGCGCCAATCCGAAGCCAGGAGCCAGGTGCTTCCTCCTGGTCTCCCACGTGGGTGCAGGGGCCCAAGTACCTGGGCCATCCTCCACTGCCCTCCCAGGCCACAGCAGAGAGCTGGACTGGAAGAAGAGCAACTGGGACCAGAACCCGGCGCCCATATGGGATGCCGGCATCACAGGCGGAGGATTAACCAAGTTAGCCTTGGCGCTAGCCCACTATGTTTTTTTTTTTTTTAAGATTTATTTTATTTATTAGAAAAGCAGAGTTACGGGGGCGGGGGGGGGAGATTCCATCTACTGTTTCACTCCCCAGTGGCTGCAATGGCTGGGGCTGGGCCAGGCTGAAGCCAGGAGCCAGGAGCTTCTTCCAGGTCTCCCACAAGAGTGCAGGAGCTTTCCTAGACACAATAGCAGAGAGCTGGATTGGAAGTGGAGCAGCCAGGATCTGAACCGGTGCCCATACGGGACACTGGTGTCACAAACAGCTGCCTTACAAACCACTACACCACAATGCAGGCCCCTGCCATTTTATACAAGGGACTCAAGCATCCTTGGATTTGTGGGAATTCCTGGAACCCAGATAACTTCATTCTCTAAGAGAGCAACCAAGTTTACAGCCAAGAAATGTTCACCCTAAAGTATTTTATATAAGTGTGCACTTCACAGTAAACAAACAAAAAGAAGTAATTTCACATTAAGATTTTACTTGTTTATTTTTAAAAAGTTTATGGAAATAACTATCAGGAGCTGAAAGTTCATTTTAAAGGAGGCACGCATTATGTTCAGAAATTAGGAACAATTTTCTAGCTCTGAAAACAATAGCCTGGTGGCTATTCTTAAAAACAATTCTTTTTTTTTTTTTTTTTTGACAGGCAGAGTGGATAGTGAGAGAGAGAGAGCCAGGGAGAAAGGTCTTCCTTTGCCGTTGGTTCACCCTCCAATGGCTGCCGTGGCCAGCATGCTGCGGCCCGCGCACCGCGCTGATCCAATGGCAGGAGCCAGGTACTTATCCTGGTCTCCCATGGGGTGCAGGGCCCAAGGACTTGGGCCATCCTCCACTGCACTCCCGGGCCACAGCAGAGAGCTGGCCTGGAAGACGGGCAACCGGGACAGAATCTGGCGCCCCGACTGGGACTAGAACCCTGTGTGCCGGCGCCTTAGGCGGAGGATTAGCCTAGTGAGCCGCGGCGCCGGCCAAAAAACAATTCTTTCAAGTGGATCTTAGTGGAGAATGGGACTGGGAATGGGAGGGAGGAGGAGGAAGAGGGATGGGAGGGTGCGTATGGTGGGAAGAATCACTATATTCCTAAAGTTGTACTTATGAAATGCATGAAGTTTGTATTCTTTAAATAAAAGGTTTCTTTGGGAAAAAGAAAAAAAACAATTCTTTCTTACAGATTAATTAAACAGAAGACAATGCTGAAAGATAGGTAGGTACTTTTGCTGTGAGTCTAAAACTCCTCTAAAAATGAAATTCTGTTTTTCAAAAATGCAGGTACCAACTGAGACAAATGATCAATCACAGCCTCCCAATGTTTTCCAGTTTCAATCTGGATATTTCTGTGTCTGTCTAGCTACACCAATCACAAGTACATCACAACAGAAGCTGTGACTCACAGACTGCCAATGGGCACAAGCATATGGCAGCAAGGATGAAAATGAAATCTATGCTTCCCACCTTCCAGGCTACACCCAGGCTGCCACTGCATTTGGGGACTGAGAACCCCTGCACATTTCTCATGCATAAATGTACATAAAATTCATCATAAGCAATAAACCCTTCTCCTGAAATGTCTTAGAACAGTGTGGTGACACACAGAGCCAACAGAAAGCAGAAGGCTTAGGGAGACACAGAAAGCACTTGCTGGAAACAATGAGGGCGTGGGTGGAAGGCACGTGGGAGACCTCCAACACCTGCTCACCACCTGGACTCAGCAAGCCCCGGAACCTGAGAAGAACGGGGTTTCACCCTATCCTTCTCCCAGCTGAGTCTAGAAATTTAGTGGGGGCCAGGGGAGGAAGAAATGCACACGGCAAAGCAGCAAAACAGCCCTTTGTTATATTTTCTAGTGTACCTTAGAAGCTATATCAGTATCCAGTTTCAAGAAAATAAGATATTAAAAGCTTGAAGATCCTTAAAGAAATGGTCCCTAGTCAACAAAATGGCCCAAAGATCATCTAACTTCTTTTTTTCTTTTTCTTTTTTTTTTTGACAGGCAGAGTGGACAGTGAGAGAGAGACAGAAAGGTCTTCCTTTGGAGGTTCACCCTCCAATGGGCGCCGCAGCCGGCACGCTGCGGCTGGCGCACTGCGCTGATCTGATGGCAGGAGCCAGGTACTTATCCTGGTCTCCCATGGGGTGCAGGGCCCAAGCACTTGGACCATCCTCCACTGCACTCCCTGGCCACAGCAGAGAGCTGGCCTGGAAGAGGGGCAACCGGGACAGAATCTGGCGCCCCGACCGGGACTAGAACCCGGTGTGCTGGCGCCGCAAGGCGGAGGATTAGCCTGGTGAGCCGCGGCACCGGCCCATCTAACTTCTGACTGAAGATTTGCTCGTGTCTTAGGAGGCCAACGAGAGACGTCAGTTTAAAATTTCCTACCATCAAAGACACACAGGTGGTGACCTAAACTCAGTACTCAAATTATCACTCCCTTTTTTCTTGATTAAACCCTGCTCTGATTCCAAGGACAGCTAAACCCCTGACGGGACTCCAAACCAGTGGACACTCCCATAGCTCCATGTGTGAAGGATGAAGAAACCGGACTGTGTGTTTAGTTAATGGAAATATACACAATTAGTCACTCACCTGATTGAACTGATTCATTTATAAACCAAGAATGGTGTTTCTCCTTGAAGACTTTGATTTCAAACAGCTGCTGCAGACTCATATTGAACAAGTACATGGCTCCTTCCCCTGTTAAAACAAATCTGGTTTTTATTTGTAGGTTTTCTCTATCATGCACTTGCACTTGCGGGCGTGTACACACACACACACACACACACACACACAGATCTAAAGACTACCCAAGCGCTCTGAGGAATGCTCCTAATAGGAACATAAACATACATAAATACACACTGTACAAACTGACTCCAAGGCAAGCTTAGAGCTATTATACACATGCTTGTTTTCCAGCTCTACAATCCTCACTGAACTTAAACCAAAGAATTCAAAAGTGCGAGTCATTTATCTTAACTGCTACAAGGCCTCTCTTCAAGTCCACCATCAAATCGGGAGGGAAAGCTCACTCCTATGCAGGCAAGACCTAATGGTGCAGCCGGATGATCTGAGCTGGCACGCGGGGCCCTGTCTCCAAGGCAGCATGTGGCTCCCCACACTTGGGGAAAAGGCCAACGCGAGAGAAAAAGGCACAGCTTTAAGCCACCGGGGCCACACTGGAGGGCTTGCCTGTTCGTAACCATGGGGGCGGGGAGGACGCGGGAGTGGCAGGAGCCCACGCACACCAGCACCTTTTCTCTCTGCAGCCCACAGATTTTTCCCCCCAACTACAGCACAATCTCTGGAGTCAAGGGCCCTATGACTGAACCTTATCTCTATCACTTGTGCCTTTGGGAAAGTTACATAAACCTTCATGTTTCCTCATCTGTAAAAGGCAGGCAATACCAGACCTACCTGCATTTTTCTAAGGATTTCAGGACAGAATATATATATCTCCTTAAACAATACTGGGCATATAGCAAGTGCCCACCAAATATTAGACTTTAGTTTTTCACTGCCAATGTGACAAAAAACATTTATTCTTCCATTACATATGAAAATTGAAAGAGGAATTTTAGAAGTACACGGTGGCTGATTTTCCCCTGGACCTATATTTGTGTGAAATGCCCTAGAAACTTTACCGCCAACTAAAATTTTCTTGAAGAACTATTTCTCACCTCAACCCTGTCTTAGGCAAAACCAAGTTTCAAATAATATGGCTGATCGAGTGCATTCCATTTCATAATGAGGAAAAGAACAGTAGGGAAAGTCAAGCCTTCTTTTCTCCTTTCATTGCTTGTGTTTATGCCTCTACAGCAACAAATAAACACAGCGGCACGCCTACACTTGCACCATTCAGTATTACAGTCACCAGGGGAATGCTGCAATGTGCCACATATGAGGTGTTACTCCAAACCTTATCAATTAGCGGAACAAGAGCACCACCCATGTCACCACATAGAGTGTATTTTTAATATGTTGCCTTGAAAAACTTTAGAAGACAAAACAGAAAACGCACTGTATACAGTTAAAATAAAACTGCTTGCCAATAAAATATGAATCTCTTCAATATACAATACTTTTAATAAAAAATTCTCTGACAGGAAAAAATGTACTATTTCTTGATGGGAACAAATAAGGAAAGTACAGTCAAAAAATAAAACTAATCAAAATCTTGGCATGTCAAGTAGAAGCCTTCTGCTTTTTTACTCTACTTGTTTATTTTACTTTATAACATCAAATGAATATAAATGCAGGCTAATGTTGGATAGCTACTCTAAGAAAAGTTGGCTTATAAAGGCCAAAGAAAATTAATCTGCTTTCAGAGAGAATTCAAACACTACTTTTTTGCTTTGCCAGCAATCCTGATGCCTGAACAGTTCTGGGGATTAAAATTACAAGAAATTTTAAAAATGTTTACATTGAACGAATAGTAATGTCATCGGCTTGCTTTATTCACCTGCCATCTCAAGCCATTTGGAAAGAAGACACATGAGAAAAGAATACAGTGGAATTTCAACACATTTGCAGAAAAACAATTAAAAGATAAGTATGTTGGTACACAAAAATTTACAAGCCACGCATGATCTTTTTCATAATATGCAATTTTTGTAACTATCTGAAGATCTCTTGCATACTTATCAGTCACAATGTTTAAAGACTTTGCAGTTATTATCACCAGAGGGAAAGGACACGTACCTGAACACGGGCTAACCAGTTTTATAAACATGAGCCCATTTTTCATCTTCTTTGAAGTATCTTTTAAATGTTCTGAAAAGAAAAGGTGAATTCGCAAAATTAAAATATATTTGCTTTGCTGCTCGCTTGACTTTACTCTGCTTACCTTTCTTGTACATATATATGGTGTTTCTTTCTAAAATTTTTAGCTCAGGAAGCTGTAGTTTAAACCACAGCTTGGAACATGTGCTCCCATACCAAAATGCTAGTTGCAATCCCAGCTACTCTGCTTTGGATCTGGCGCCCTGTTAGTGCACCTGGGAAGTAATGGATGATGGCTCAATTACTTGGTCCCTGACGCCCCTGTGGATGTCAGCATGGGTTTTCTGGACCTTAGCTTCAGCCTGGCCCACCGTGGATGCTGCAGCCATGTGGGCAGAGAATGAGCAAATGGAACATTCATAGTCTCTCTCTCTCCCCCTAATAAAAATTTAAAAACTAAAAATTTTAACTATCACAAACTGTGAATCTTGAGCAAATTACCAATTTCCCTGTAAGTAGAATTTCAGATAGTGTTGATTTTTTTCTTTGAGAACTGATGAAGAGCAGAGTTGTAGTGTCAGATGGACTGGGTATTAATCTAGGCTAAGAGCTTTGTCACTGTGGGCAAGAGTCTTAGTCTCCTATCTCAACTGTCATTTACAAAAGGATATTAGTATATTTGCTTTTCAAGGGATTAAATTAGTTCATCTGTTGAAGGTACCTAACATGATTGAATAGAAATGTAAAACAGGGCTGGCGCTGTGGCATGGGCAGGTTAAAGCCCTGGCCTGCAGTGCCATCATCCCATATGGGCAGCAATTCGAGTCCTAGCTGCTCTACTTACAACCCAGCTCCCTGCCAATGAGCCTGGAAAACCATCCGAGAATGGCCCAAGTCCCTGGGCCCTTGCACCTGTGTGGGAGACCTGGAAGAAGCTCCTGGCTCCTGACTTCGGATCGGAGTGAACCAGCGGAAGGAAGACCTCTCTCTTTCTCTCTCCTCACTCTGTAACTCTGTCTTTCAAATAGATAAAATAAATCTTTAAAAAAAGCAATGTAAAATAAATGAAATATATTACCGGTATAATTTGTATTATTATAATTCTAAAGATTATTTTCAAAATAAAAATATTTTATTATTTATATTTTTACTGCTGTTATTACCTGTTCATGTCCTTTTCCTGTTCTCCTTATGCAGTATCCTTCTTTCCTTCCTTCCTTTTTTTTCTTTCTTTTATTACTCTATGAATCTTCATAGGGTAAGGATATTAACTCTGTTTTAAACTCTACTTGTAATTTTTTCCTACCACGTGGAAGATATAAAATATATAAAAGATATAAAATCTCTGTGTAATCACTTCTGCAATATGGTTGAACACTTCGTGTCATACTTAGAAATGTCTTCTCTTCCTCATAAATTGCCTGTATTTTCTTATAATACTTTAAAATGTTATCCTTAACCTATCTGGAATATCTCGGTGTAAGATAGGGAGAGGGAATCGAATGAGAATTTTTTTTCAGTGAGTTGGTTGGCCAGCTGTACTAGCATCACTACTGAATATTCATCACTTAAGTGCACTAAATATTTAAACTATTTAAATATCTAATACTTAAATATTAAAATATTTAATATTAAATATTAAAACATTAAATATTAAATTATTAAAATTAATTAATTAAATATTAAATTAACACTTAATTTTTAATTTAATTAATTCAATTATTAAATTAGCATTTAATATTAATTTAAATATTAAATATTAAAAATTAAAATATAATATATTATAATAATATATAATGATATATTATAATATTATATAATATATACATATATTATATTATATTATATATTATATATAATAATATAAAATATTTAAATATTTAAAATAAGTCTGGGAACAGTATTTCGATTCACTAGTCAGCCTATATTAGCATCCGTTCAACAGTTTAATTACTATTAATTAATTAATAGTATTAATTAATACTTAATTACATCTAAATTTTATTATCCAATAAGGTTAGCCCCTTCTGTTTCCTCTACCATATTTAACTGTCAAAGTTTCAATCATGTAAATTAAAACACCAAGACCATGGCAATTTTACGGCTAATCCAGCAAATTCTGAAGGACACAGCCGGAGGGCTCCTGGAAAGAGTCCCTCTCCACAAGGAACGGAGGGAATCTGATTAGTAAGGGACCACAGACCCAATCTACCTAAGGAGCAAAACAATGTTCAGGGCACGAAGGGAACTCTTCCTCTCTCTTCTGTGGTCCCCACGCCCTCTGCTCCACTGCGGATCTTCATAAACTTGAATATTTATTTATTTGAAAGGCAGTTACAGAGAGGCAGAGGCAGAGAGAAAGAGCGAGAGAGGGAGAGGGAGAGGAAGAGACATAGAGATCTTCCATCTGCTGGTTCACTCCCCAATTGGCCACAACGGCCCCAGCTGCACCTGTCCAAAGCCAGGAGCCAGGAGCTTCTTCTGGGTCTCCCTCGCGGGACTTGGGCCATCTTCTACTGCTTTCCCAGGCCATAGCAGGGAGCTAGATCAGAAGTGGAGCAGCCGGAACTCGAACTGGTGCCCATATGGGATGCTAGCACCGCAGGTGGCGGCTTTACCAGCTAGGACACAGCGCCAGTCCCCTCTTCATAAACTTAAATCTGGCACATAGGGTTAGAAATTGGCTTACTCATAAATGGTTAAAATACAGCATTCTTTGTTAAACTAATAATGACATCAAATATTCGAAAGGAAAGCAGCAACCTCATTTTGGGATTTCTACTCTCAGCTGAGATGGAGTAAGAGGAATTCAACGTACCCTCCCACCTGAAACAACCAAAACTCAGACAAAACATGCACTCGGGACACGGGACAGCAAGCCTCGCAGGACCCGATCCTGAGGGGTGGGACCAAGCAGGTGAGCCAGGACCACCTTCGCTTCCAGCCCTGCAAGGGCTCCTGGGCGCGGTGCCAAGGGAGAAGCGGGCGAATGGCAGGCAACGGAGAGTCCTGCCAGCCCTAGAGACCTGGAGCGGGTCCTGCTCTTCCGTACTGCACAGGGCACCTCTCCGTGCAGGCATGCGACGAGACGCCCAAGGCCTGGGAGAGAACAGTTTGAGTAGACGAGAGGGGACAGCACGACCCTCCCAAGGGGGCCTGGACTGCACCTATTCCCGGACAGACCACGAAACCTCACAATTCACAGAGTGTAACGAAGAAACTCGAAAAGGTATGATTAGCCCTAGACTAAACACTGTTCTGGTCCCACCAAATTGATTTTAACACAGCAAGCCCCAGAGGATCAAACTCTCCCCATGTAACTTAACTGTGATCCAGAATGAGGTTCAAGAATATTTATAGGAATAGGAGGATATTCATCACCCAAAAAGGTAATTCAAATCTGGCATCTAATCAAATACATTGGAATTAACAGACAAAGGTGTTAAAAACAGCATTCCTCTTGTAAAAAAGTTAAGTAGAAACCTGAAAGATTTTTTTTTTTAAAGACCCAGATGTCTAAAGATCTGGTAAGATGGGATTAATGGCAGAAGAAAATTAATGAATTTAAAGCAACAGTAACAAAGAATGAAAACACAGTGTAAACATTTAAAAGGAAGAGTATCAGTGACCTGTGAGACAACTTAAAGCATGTCAATATACGTGTAACGAAGCTTCCAAAAGACAAGGGAGAACAGAGCGATATAAAAACTATTTGCAGAAAGTATTTCTGAAATGTTTCTACGTGTGATGAAAACTGTAAGCCCACACACCCAAGAAACTCAATGAACCCAAAGCACAAGATACAGCAAGAAATAAACATGGTGATAATTCAAAACCAGTAATAAACAGAAAATCTTAAAAGCAGCCAAAAGAAGGAAAAAAAAACACGAATTACATGTAGATGAACAAAGAAGGAAGACAGCAAATTTTTTGTGTGAAAACCGTGCAGGCCAGAAGACAACCAAGAAACATTTTTAAAGTACTAAAAGAAAACACCAGAATTCCAGAGACACTACCTCTGAAAAATAAAGATGATACGCAGACTTTTGCGAACACTTGTGAGAGCTGCAGGAAAGAATCAGCAAGAGGCCCACACTGTAGGTGATGCTAAAGGAATTCTTCCTGGCAGAAGGAATGTGATTCTATATGAAAATATGAATCTAAACCAGAAAATTAGCAACATGGAGTAGTGGCAACTCTGGTAAATAAATTGGACTTGTATTATGTCTTTAAAGGTCATTGGATGTTTAAATAAAAACAATTTAGGGGGAGTTTATAACAGATATATATAAAATACATGATGACAATGCCATAGAGGCAAGGAGAAGAGAAATTTAAGTATACTGTAGTAAGTTTCTATTACTGTGTAAAGAAGTATAATAACACTTAAGGTAGATCTGATCATTTAAATAAGTCAATAATAAACAAATTACAAAACAACAAATACTGTCATCAATATGACAAAGGACATGAAATATGATCATAAAAAACGTACCTGACTCAGGGCAGAGTACCTGCATTCAACCCAGTGCTCTGGCCCGACTCCAGTTTCCTGCCTACATAAACCTTAGGAGGCAGCAGGTGATAGCTCAAGTAATGGGGTTCCTGCCAACCGCCTAGGAGACCTGGATTGAGTTCCTGGCTCTCAACTTCAACATGGCCAGTCCTGGCCATTGCTGGCATTTGTGGAGTGGACCAGGAGATGAGAGATTTGTCTGTCCATCCGTCTGCCTCTTAAACAAATAAGTAATAAAGATGCTGCCTCTCTGCCTCTTAAATAAATAATAAACATGTCTTTGAAGATAATAAAAAATAAGTTAGAGTAAAAGCATAAAGAATGGATGAGACAAATAGGAAGTAAAGAGCAATATGACAAATTCAAGCCTAATACAGCAATCACATTCAATGTACATGGTCTCAACACCCCAATTATAAAGCATAAATTGTCAAACAGGATTTGGGAAAAAAAAAAGATAAAAACTAAATTCTGGGGCCAGCACTGTAGTGCAGTGGGTTAAGCTGCCACTTGGGGTGCCGCATTCCACTCAGAA